TCTTTTGCAACAGATCACGGATGTAAGTTGACAGATTTATTGAGTGCTGCTTTGGCAGCAAAATCGGCCATTGTGTTCCCGGAAATGGCAACGTAGCTGGGTAACCAACAGAAGACGATGTCGTATTGGCCAGTAGCCAGATCATTATAGAATTCAATAATTTCTATTAAAAGTGGATGTTTGCAAGAAACCAATCTGGGGAATCAAACCCGGGCCTTCGGCGTGACGAGCGAACACTTTAACCACTGGGCTACCCCACAGCCCCAATAGTGGGAGAAAATGTGTATATGTTACAGTCAATCTGTAAAACCAGTCATTTGGTCAAATTAATAAAACGATCAGTCATTTGATCAAAAGACTAAAAGTTTCAGTCATTTGGTCAAATGAGTTCTAGTTAGACTGCCTGCCTGAACAGTATGTGTCAATCCATCAAATGCAAGGTATTTATTTTGAATGTTTACTGGTTTCATTTTTACACACTATAATGCTTCGCACATCTGAACATTCAGTTATGGGTGTTCAATCACGGAAGCTGTATGAGAAGCATGAAGAGCTTCAACAGGTGTTCATCCCCAAAGTCAAGTACTGTGCCATAATTGAAGAGCTCAAACAACTTGCCTCAGTGACATCAAACAAGACCAAGATTACTTGCCTTTGTCCAAATATGAGATTCTTGAGAGTGGAGACTGTCAACGACTCATCAAAAGAAGAAAGACACCGGAAGATCAGCCAGTCTACTATGTTCACATTGAAGAGGCCTTTATTAATAATAATAATAATAATAATATGGATTCTTATATTGCGCTAAACCGCACACCAAAGTTTGCTCAAAGCGCTAACAGAGTTCACAGATATCACATGTGTGTTTACAATCCATTTCTATTGAAGAGGTAGGTCTTAAGATGCTTCTTGAAGCAAGTAAAGAGTTGGAGTTGATTTCAGATCAAAGGGAGAGCGTTCCATTTAACGGCAGCATTATATGGGAAAAATCTTCCGCCAAATGTCTTGAGCCTGATGTTGGGGAGATTACTAGCATTTGATCCCTGAACGGAGAGTTCTTGTAGGGACATGGTCTTCTACTAGATCACACAGATAACCAGGAGCTGTATCATTGATACACTGATATGTGAGGGTAAGGATCTCATGATGTATCCGTTCTTTGACCGGCAGACAGTGGAGATACCTGAGTACTGGAGTGATGTGACAGTATTTTTTGACAGTGTGACAATTCTAGCCTTCTGGATGTTTTGCAGCCTTCTGATTTTTCTGCGCTGGGGCCCCTACAAGCAGAATATTACAATAGTCAATCCTGGCTAGGATCGTTGAACGTGCAAGTGCTGCAGCTGTTTGTTTGAGAGAAGGTGGCGTATGTTACCTATGTCATTTGACATTATACAGCTAGCAACAGCCGGTGTCATTCAAGTCTCACTTGTCAAAACAAGTATTGTACATGATATGCAAAACTCTATGTTGAAACTGGATAAATAAAGTGTTCACTTCAGCTTTTTAAACTCCAAATGACTTAGACTTGATCAAATGACTGAGAATTTTAGTCATTTGACCAAATGACTGGTTTGACAGATTGACTGTAACATATATATGTTTTATCGATATACGCAGTGACGTTGTGTTCATAGTCCGTCACTTACAAAACCCAAATGATGTTTCACACCAGAGAATAAAATCCTACTGACACTTTAACTTTTGTTAAGTAACTTGTGATATCTTGTCTGATTGCTGCCAATATTTCTCCTGGGTTCCTGTTAACTCTTGTGATAGAATAGATGGTATTCAATGCAATCATGATTGTCTAATTAATAATCACACAGACCCATATTAACCAGATTTAGTAGGATTTTATATATATATATATGTATATAAACAATATATATTTATATAAATTTTCAAGTCTTAAATGGTTTTAATATATTCTTCTCTTGGACTTCCTTTACTAGTTTTAAATCCATATTAGTGATAATCTAGTTGTTTTACTGTCCTTCTTTGACAGAATTTTATAATTTACTTTAAATTGTTGATATATCATTTATAACTTGATCTAGTCACAATATGGCTGAAATACTGCCGATGTGACTTAAAATCTTAACTCACTCACTCACTTGAACTTCCTGGAATATTACTAAAAGCGGCGTAAGACTAAACTCACTCACTCACTTGAACTTCCCTGTTTGTTTTTATTTATATGTGATATTTACTTTAATTTTATTGACATTCGTACAAATATGTTTTGCTCATTCCCGGCCCCGTCTTTACACTATAAGCATCAGAAACGGGGGACCTAGGTTGGTGTAAGTCGAATGTGCTGATGCGGTGTCCAGTGTCTTTGTAAACAACTTCAGTATAGATATTGAACTCGTAAAATAGAATGTGTTATTAATAACAATATTAAGACTGTAATAAGAATTTAATGCTACATTCTGGTACAGAAGCTCACACCTGGTTAATCAAGAGACTTTGGAATCCTGGGACTAACTCACGGAGAATAAGTGAGTGAGTGAGTTGGGTTTTACGCCGCTTTTAGCAACATTCCACCAAAATCACGTCGGGGAACACCAGAAATGGGCGTCACACAATGTGCCCATGTGGGGAATCGGCGTGGCGAGCGATCACTTTAACCACTAGGCTACCCCATCCAAACGGAGAATGAATACACAAACAGGAAAAAGCTGGTTTGTGAGGACACAGGGCCCCTTAGACAGTTCAGTTTTATCAAGCTGATTGGTTGGTTGATTAGTGTTTAACGCCGCACCCAACAATATTCCAGCTATATGGCGTTGGTCTGTACATAATCGAGTCTGGACAAGACATCCAGTGATCAACAGTATGAGCATCGATCTGCGCAATTGGGATACGAGGAGATGTCAGCAAGCCTGACCACTCCATCATGTTAGTCGCCTTAAAGTAGTGTAAATACATGTCTTGAATATATATGAATATGTGTTATGCTATGTTCAAGATCCGGTTGTTATCATGTATTTCTTAAGCTGTACAATGGGCCTTACATGCTAAATACCTTGACAAAAGAGCCCCCAAAGACGAGTCATCAAGTACAACTCGAGAATGAGGTGTCTGGGGCGACCTGGATCCGAGAATAGTATCACGAAAATGGACCTGCACGATTTGGCCAGATACCCGTGAAGCCGAAGCGAAACAAAACTGCTGAATTGACAGTGGTGTTTTTGTAGATAAACTTTCAAATCACCATGTTATGTGAAAGAATTCAAGTTGCGTAAACTCTTCTTGTCGAACATATGCTGTTATGTCACCAAAGGGGCGACATAGACGCGACATAGTTAGAGTGGAACATGTAATAACATGCAATACCTGCATGCATGATATTATGTTTACAATTATAGCCAAATTATGATTCATCCTGACAATATAGATATTTGAGTGGTGAACAGAGCAGGTAAATATCATGCAATTAAATGATTATTCCACCACAATGGCAAGAAAACATAAAGCCGAGAAATTACATGATGCCAAATGTTAATGTCCGTAAATGTAGGGCAAAATAAACATGGCTTTATTCTTCCACGCAGTAAAATAAACAATTAAAATTCTTTATGATTATTGTACACAACGATTAAGTCCAATATTTGCTTAAAGGATTAACGGATTGCCACACTCACCTAGGGTTTCAACAATCGTAGCGTGGCAGCGCTTTGTGAAGTGGGCCCCGGGTTCTAACAAGGATTGCATTGACGGTAAGCGTCATATCTGAACGGTATGTATCACACTTGCAAACATGTCGTTTCTGGAACTATATATATATCCTATCTGGAATGGTACAAAGCGTATCTGGAACGGTACACATTATATCTGAATCAGCTACCTCAGTGGATAAGACAAAGCGACGCTGATGGTCGGGAAAGTTCGATATTCATGCAATATTCCATGTTCTCTAAAACAAAATCTAATAATTGCCACAAAACCAAATTTTGCGCAGTCACGTGAAATCAAAAGACCAATTCTAATTATTTGTCTCATAATTTTGGACACCCTAATAAATAACAAACGATCATTATTTTGTTGTCACTTTTTTTTAGAACAGCCAGATAATCAACAGGCGTGTGTAGTGAACTCGCACACCTGGCTGTTCTATAAGCAAGTGGTCCTCCCTCGTACAAAATAGCGAAAAGTGACAACAAAATAATGATCGCTTGTTAAACAACTTTTTTAATCGGGTGTCCAAAATTTCTGAGACAAATCATTACAGTCGGTCTGTTGATTTCACGTAAGTGTGCAAATTTCGGTTTCGTTGCAATTATTAGACGTCAATATTTTCAAGTGTATTTGTGGTTGTTGGCACAATTACAATGTACAACTAAAACTGTGTCATTTGCATGTTACAGTTAATCCTTCCCTCTTCATATTTTGTTATATTTTAAGAACAGTTTTAATTTGCAGTATAAGCTATATTACTTCTAATATGAAATAATATTTAACATGCAAATTCATTAAAACCTGTTCTTCTAGCATAACAATTACAGTACGGTGGGTTAGCCAAGTGGTTAAAGCGTTCACTCGTCACGCCGAAGACCCGGGTTCGATTACCCACATGGGTACAATGTGTGAAGTCCATTTCTGGTGTCAACCACCGTGAAACTGCTAGAATATTGCTAAAAGTGGCGTAAAACTATACTCACTTCCTCTTATCCACCCGGGGCGGTGGGGTAGCCTAGTGGTTAAAGCGTTGGCTCGTCACGCCGAAGACCCGGGTTCGAATCCCACATGGGTACAATGTGTAAAGCCCATTTCTGGTGTCCCCCGCCGTGATGTTGCTGGAATATTGCTAAAAGCGGCGTAAAAGCATACTCAGTCAGTCAGTCTTATCCACCCAATAGCATGACTCTGTACCTGTGTCTAATTCTGTAACCTTCTCTTTTGTTCGAATGTATTCAACTGATGTTGATTGAGGGTACATTAGGAGGCTTATGAGGGGTCACGCAAGAGTTTGTAATAAAACATAAAACTCTATAAACAAAAAAATGTTTATTTATCAGCATTACAACAGAAAATACATAAATCCATACAGTTTCAGTACCGGGTAAGAACTGGTCTTCAGCAACCCATGCTTGTCGTATGAGGCGACTAACGGGATCGGGTGGTCAGGCTTGCTGACTTTGTTGACAGATGTCATCGTATTCCAATTGCGTAGATCGATGCTCATGACCCTCATCACTGGATTGTCTGGTACAGGTCTGATTATTTACAGACGGCAGTCATGTAGCGGGAATATTGTTTAGTGCGTCGTTAAACTACAAACAAATCACATACTCCTGGTATATTGTCTTATAATAAGCGTCATGCCAAACGGAAAGGAAGGCCATTCCACTGGATCATGCGCTTCAGTAACTTTTGTCGTCATATTACCAAGACGGCTTGGGGCAAAGCTATTTATCACAGAAATTCATGTTTGTCAAGGTCAAGCTATGTACAAAATACAAAATAACAATTTGCAGGAAATGGAAGACGCGTTTCTCATGAGTCTAAAGCCTCAAACTCGGTCAGTGAGATTAAAATTTCGGCGTTTTCTTTTTTAACTTTTTCAAGCTCAGTGCGAAGAAACGAGTTTTCCTTCTCCAAGAATGAAGCTCTCATGGCTATCTGGTTCTCCTTGACGCGCCTGGCGTCCCGGGACCGTTTAGCTGCCACATTGTTCTTCTTCCTCCGACACCAGTACTTGTCGTCCTTATTGTCGTCAGGGACAAAGATCTGGAAATGTGAAAAGAATCACATTCAGTCTCTGTAACGTCTAAGCAGAAAGGGGCGGTGGGGTAGCCTTGTCATTAAGTGATCGATCGTCAAGCCGAAGACCCAATTCGATTCCCCACATGGGTACAAAGTGTGAAGCTCGTTTCTGGTGTCCCCCGCCGTGATATAGCTTGAATATTGCTAAAAGCGGCGTAAAACTAGTCATTCACTCACTCACATATTCACTCTATAAAAGCAAAGAACATAAAACTACGGTCGTATTAAAAACAATTAACAATTAGCTTCATTCAAACGTAAACGCTGGAAAATACCCAATCTCAAACCAATGTAAACAAACCGCAAAGTCATGTGACACGAAAATGTAGTAAAATTAGTATGTTGAATATAAATTACGTCTCCTTTGTACAAATGCAGAGGTTCTGCTGCTAATACATCAAGAAATATGCTCGTATTGAACTTTGTTTGGCGGTGTGAAGTTAATTTCTAGGAGGGTAAATAAGTTTAACAAGGTAATCATGTTTGACAAGGTAAATGTGTTTGACAATAAAATAAAACATCTATCTTTGTAATATGCGTAGACAGGTGCATTAACTTTTTTATGGCGTTGGTGTGAAACTCTAACCACAACCTTCGGGTCTCTGGGGACCTTCAGACAAATGAGACTCTGGTTGTCAAAGTGGATATACCTTTCTTGATTTCTTACACATCGGCTGAGGTTTCAGCTCGTCTTCTGAAAATGTTCGCTCTCGGGGATCGAAGTTTTCTAAGCCTGAAACAATATAAACTAACACTTCAACGCCAGAGAATAATCGGTTTCGATCATCTGTGTAAACAGATTCCATTTATGGCAAGACGCAAAATTACTTCGAAAGGTGAATGGATGTTCACTGAAAGTTAGTGATGACACCATGTGTTTAGGAAAAGGTTACGTATGTCCTGCCATATCCAAGAACTTTGCGATTTGCATTTACAAAAAACTGTTTAGTGTCTGTTTTAGTTCCATGAGACATCGATCTATAAGCAAACCAGAGAGGACAACAAACTGTGCTTTTAGCAGACATTTCTTTTGTCGCTTTTATTATTAGGGTCTAAACGATGACCTTATAACCATTTACGGTAAAAATATGTTTTTGCTATTTTGGGAACATTTTTGGGCTTTTGAACAATACGATATGTAAAAATATGTAATATGTAACGTGTGTTCTTGAGAGGAAACTATAGCCATGTATTATGACATTAAATCACATGGACCAGCTTGACACAGTACAGGTATGAAGTTAAAACAGAAGAAAGCCTTGATGTCTGTTTTACCTTCAAAATCAACAAGACAGACTCCACGTTGAGTCACAGAAAGGTCAACAGATTCATCTGGACTGTAGGATGTTGTGAAGGTCACTACAAAGTAGGAAAACATTGGTCAGAAATAACATACACACCTGGTATGCTCACCAAAGCCAATTCAGATGGTGAGAGGTCAAAGTCTAGTTTAGGCTGAGCCTCGGGGACCTTGGATTCACCAAGCTTACTTTCTGTAAGAGCTGAAAAGGATACAATGACATTTCATGTTTTGCTTTCAGAATCAAAATACAATTCTAACATCAGATCCTTAACTACTGCATTCTAAATAATCTACTTAATACTATCTAATTATCACTACAGATATGTTTTAATCCGATCGGTTGGCAAAGATTGACTGCATTCAATGAACGGAAACACCGTGTTTTTGCACAAGGATTGTCTGAAGTGGGGTGTTAATATACCTTCAAAAAGTGCAATGGCCCCAAATATCACTGTAATAAACCATCATTGTTTCGGATACACTGGAATAAACGAATCACAGATGCTTAGTTTAGTCTGAAAGTTTTACATGTTCCAAGAACTTCAAAATGAAACAATTCTTTGAGTGTTCGAAAGGTTACATCTGGTGTTGATCGCATGAAATGGCCTTTCTCATCACACAAGGGGTCATATCTTTAACCACATACCTGCTGTTGATGGTGTTGGCAGTTCGTCGTATTGCGAGGCGTCGAGCTGTGATTGTCGAGATGGCAACTGCTTTGGGAACGTGGCTGGAGTCGACTTAGTCACACGTGTGATGTGGCTGGGAAATGTGTCTGGTGGCGATGGAGGGACTTGTTGGCTGTTACTTGGACACGTGTCTGTTGGCGAGGGAATTGCTTGTGTGCTGCTACAGGGGAACGTGTCTGGGGCCTGCAAAGTGACTTGCGTGATGTGATTGGGATACTTCCCAGTTGGTGACGGAGTGAGTTGTGTGCTGCTACAGGGGAACGTGTCTGGGGCCTGCAAAGTGACTTGCGTGATGTGATTCGAATACTTGTGATTTGGATACTTCCCAGTTGGTGACGGACTGAGTTGTGGGCTGCTACTTCGAGACGTGTCTGGTGCCTCCGAAGTGACTTGTGAGGTGTGATTTGAATACTTGCCAGTTGGTGACGGAGTAAGTTGTGGGCTGCTACTTGGAAACTTGCCTGGTGCCTCCAAAGTGATTTGTGTGATGTGCTTGGGATACTTGCCAGTTGGTGACGGAGTAAGTTGTGGGCGGCTACTTGGAAACGTGTCTGTTGGTGAGGGAATTGCTTGTTGGATGCTGTAGGGAAATGTGGCTGGAGGCGATGGAGTGGCACGTGTAATGTGATTGGGATACGTGTCGGTTGTCGACAGAGTGAGTTGTTGGCTGCTACTTGGAAACGTGTCTGGTGCCCCCGAAGTGACTTCTGTGATGTGACTGGGATACTTGCCAGTTGGTGACGGAGTGAGGTGAGGGCAGTTTCTTGGAAACGTGTCTGTTGGCGAGGAAAGCACTTGCTGGCTGCAAAAGGGAAACGCGGCTTGAGGCGATGGCGTGCCACGTGTGATGTGATTGGGATACTTGTCAGTTGGCGACGGAGAGAGTTGTGGACCGTTACTTGGAAACGTGTCTGTTGGCGAGGAAAGTACTTGGCTGCTACAGGAAAACGTGGTTGGAGGCGATGGAGTGGCACGTGCAATGTGTTTGGGAAAATTGTCTGGTGGGAGTTGTTGACCGTTACTTGGTAACGTGTCTGTTTGCGATGGAACTTCTTGCAGGCTGCTACAGGGAAACACGTCTGATGGCATCGAAGTGACTTGTTGGTCGGAACCCGGAAACGTGTGGGGAGGTGAATCGATGGCTTGTGGACTGTGACTTGGAACTGAAAATGTGTCGATGCCTTTGGGACTGTGATTACTCCTGCTTAGCTGTGGGTTTGTGGAATGTGCCTCGTTGAGATTTCCAGCGATCTGATGATCTTTCGGGATGCCATTTTCTGTCAAGAAGTCCACCAGATCCATGTACTCCAAGGTGAAGTCTTCATTGTCGTATGTCTCGTCCCACAAGTCCGGTCCAAGAAAGGCTGACCCATATTTTTCAGTTTTCTTGTTCTTGTCAGATTCTGAAACAGTAACATAATAAGGCGTATTGACAATCTAAGAATAAAATGTCATGTATGCGATTTTAACCAACCTAAACTCAAACTAAAGGAAGTCATTTAAACCACCTCAATTGTTCAATATTTGGATCAATGCATAAAGGTTCAGACTGACAAACGCTTCTTCAAAAGACTGTATGATAAGATATTTATCTAATATAATCTTCCTTCATGCTCTCAATACAGTCGGAATCACAAGTTTTAGGTACGTCTTAAAAAGGGCTACAATGTGATTGCCTCCTTGTATAAGAAGCCCCAGTTTTATTTAAAGTCTGTTGTAGTCTCAGAGAAACACTTCGAAATGTCTTCATCCGCCATACTTACAGCGTATATTGTAAGGTCATGTCAAATCAAATAATAACATTATCATATTAGATATTTATCATGTATTTACATTTTCGTTTGAAGCCTTTTGTAGGTTTCATTTATATGTGTTTGTGGCGGGAGGTGCTTTTCACGAACGCTTGTCATGTCTGATATTCAGTGATCCCTCCATGTACTTGTCTGGAGTATTTTGCTCCAATCAACGTTGACGTTTTATGTCCAAAGTAGCAATCTCACCACTGAACACTGAAATCATTTTGTGAATGATGTCGGTGTCAAAATTTGGCGAGAGTTGATTGACCTCAAGTACGAATATTAACTGGAAAATCTATACTAAACAACCCTGTGACCTTTCAAGCTCCTCCCTTCAGTCTGAGTGACGAATGGAAAGCTCTCTAATGCTCCTAACGATTCATGACGCGTCACGCACCACGCCATGCCAAAAGTGAAATTGGACCTGGATTCTGCCCCCAACACCTATTGAAATTCTTTCTGAAAGGTAATCATTTGTTCCAATCCTCCTGAGAGGGTACGTAAGTCCCAAAAACTTTCAAAGTTAAATTTTCACGTACCAGGTTTTTAATTGTAGTATTTTTGTTCTTTTAAATTTTGGCTAAATTATCCTACAATCGCCAGCGGCTGAAGGGATGGTGTAAATCCAGCTAGGCTCCATGCAGGTAGCAAAAGTAATGTAAGTCCCCATGGTTGCTAGTATGGTGATCTACCTTCAGTTGATGGCGATCTATAACCCGTGTTTTTTATTGTATTGTCTTCTTTAATTGGAATGTTTTAGCTTAGCTCGCTAGTTTTATATTTTATCTGCAATTATCCAATATTTTTACTGTCCATCGTCGACAGATTTTAATCTTCAAAATGTTTTCACTTTTTATTGTATAAATTGTTTTCGTCACGATATGGCTGAGATATTGCCGATGTGACGTTAAATATTAACTCACTCACTCATTTGTTCCAATTTCGGCATACACACATGTATGTGATAGTTAAAAGTTTGGCTGCGTTGATCCAGTACTGAGTGCCTAAATTGTCGGGTAAAAGAAAGTATATTCTTGAAAACTGGATTTGACAGAAAAATCCAAAATGTATCTATTCGAATTATCAAAACGCTAACTGAAAACCCATGTTACCTGTATAAATAAATGGGATCATTTTCTTGTTTCTTACAATTCTTCCTGTGATCGAACATAGGTGGATGGTTTCTTTTGCCGAGTAGTTTATACTGTTACCATCCCAATGGAATTCAAAATATCGTACACACGACACTTCGAGACAGTGGTTGATTTTATAAAAACGGGTGTTTTACTCACTTCATCCAATACAGGTATGTGTCCCGTTCAAATGGCAGGTCATGATATCGTCCTTTAAAAACCGAAACTGGTCAGGTGAAGTATCGTTATATGAAATTGCCGGAAATATTCCACACAATGGACACTTTACACTGGATATCGTAAACGATGATACACACACAAATTAGTGGAACTACAAGATTCGACAAAGAAACATATTATGTAAAGTTATATAAAAATCTTATCTTTATTATACAAATGTTCTTTGTGCTAAGTCAAAGCAATAAGTATCAGTAAAATTTAGAATATTATTCTCCACTGGACCCTAATCACAAAGACCCATTGTAAACTGATACTGCTTTCATCTACCTTCAGGTTTCACTCTCCGTTAGTACCTGGAAGAAAGCCACATGCACCTTTCTTTGGGTTAAGGTACAAAATACTTTATATTTTATAAATATTTTATTTACCAGTATTGTTTGATGTTTCACAAATTTCTTTTAATTAACTGAGTATCTATGATATGGCGCCTGGGATTAGGTATATACAAGTATGATTCATTTATATTTTGAAACAAGATTGGCGGCCATTTTATAAAGTCAATTTGCTTTTATCTCTCCAAACAATACTCATAAGACAATATTCTCAAGCACGACGTTACACAATTTCTGCTGCTCACCTTAACAATGAAAATATCTCAGATGAATGAAACTATGTGACTGCTTGAAGGTTACATAGCTTACTAAATCGCTGGATTACAGATTATATCAGCTCAAGTATTAATGGAATTTAGTCCCCATGAAAAACTATCCCTTCGAAACATAAATAATGTTTGTTATGAATATGATATAAATAAGGATTGCATTTATTTATTGCATATCTTATCTGTGAAGATATTACTTTGTTTAATATCTGTTCTTTAAACCTTTTTGTCCAGTTTCAAAAAGAATAAATTTCATATCCGTACATATGTGTTTATAGTGTCGAGGAAAGCGAAAGAAACCCAGGGACTGTCAAGGTTGTTTGTTGCGCCAGCCACAATCACTGCACTGTTGTACACAATTATCTCAACACAACTCGCAAGGTGACCTCTTCAACATTAGTCCACAAATCCTCCCACAGCAATAGACCGGATTAAGCAAGTAGCTGTAACATGATATTTATTGAGCAACATATCTTCATTTTCATTGCTTGTGGTTTCGGACAGATGAGTAAAAGCAAATGCTTATTTGAAAAATACACAAACCCGAGGCCTAGCCTTTCAAGCTTCTCGCTCCCATCCGAGTGAAGAAATCGAAACCTAACGACTTTTCCAAATACATTGGATCCTTTGGTTCTGATGAGCTCCAAATGAAATCTTAATGAGATGACACTTTCCTTTCTTAAAAGTAAGTTTATATACGTATGTGAAGTTACCTCGGAACAATCCGTTCAGTGATAGTTAACAGTTAGGTGGCGTATATTTAGTGCCTAAATTGTCGGGTAAATGAAAGTATATTCTTGACAACTGAACATGTGTAGATGGTCTCTTTTTCGAGGTAGTCTATACTGTAACCATCCCGAATGAATTCAAATACATTGTCTGATAAGTAACTGTTATACCTTATAGAAAAAATAAAATATCGTGCACATGATACTGCAAGATAGTTCTTTTATATAAACGACTGATTTACTTACTTCATCCAACACAGATATATGTCCTGTTCAAATGACAGACCAGAAATTAGTAGAACTACAAAACTCGACTCAAAAATAAATTACGTAAATATATTTACAAATTTTATCTGTATTATGCAAATGTTCTTTGTGCTTAGTCAATGCAATCAGTATCCATACAATTTAGAATATTATTTTCCAATGGACCCTAAACACAAAGACCCATTGCCAACTGATACTGCCTTAATCTACCTTCTGTACAACGTTTGACTCTCCTTAGTACCTGGAAGAAAGCCACATGCACCATTCTTTGTGTTAAGGTACAGAGGAGAAATCTTTATTTTATTTACTAAATTTTTATTTGGTGTTTAACAAATGCGTTTTCATTAACCGAGTACCTATGATATGACGCCTGAGATTAGATATATACAAGCTGGATTAATAGATATTTTGAAACAAGATTGGCGGCCATTTTAATAATTTGACTTTTAGTAATTTACTCATAAGACAAGCCAAGTACACTTCGCTGCTCGTAATGAAAATATTTAAAGCATGAATAAAGTATGTTTTGAATATGATATAAATAAGAATTGCATATATTTATCATATACCTTGTCTGTGAAAACATTTACATTCTTTATTATCTGTTCGTTTGTTCAGTTTCCAAAAGAAATAATTGCAGATACCTACGTATGTGTTTATAGTGTGGTAGAAAACGAAAGAAAGTCAAGGAATGCCAAGGGTCTTTGAACGGCAAGTGATATTCCTTCATCAGGCGATGAAGGAGTAAGAATATACTCCGAAACGTCGTGTTCCTCAAATAAAGAAGTTGACATCCATACAAGGAATGTCAATACTGATGGGCGGGACACCCACTATCATGAGACAACTGTGTACAATTATCTCAAGTGGGAAGGTCGTATATATGTTAAACAAAATAACTCACAAGGAGCCCTCTTCAACATACGTCCATAAATCCTCGCACAGCAAAAGACCGGATTAAGCAAGTAGCTGTGGCATGATATCTACTGAGCAAAATGTAATCACTTTCATAGCAAGTGTTTTCGGGCAGATGAGTAAAAGCAAATCAGCATTTTAGAAAATAGACAAACCTGAGGCCTACCTTTTGAGCCCTCCTTTCATCTGAGTGAAGGAAACGAAACCTAACGACATTTCAAAGTGAAATAGCTCATACTGAATCTTCATTAAAATTACACTTTCCGTTGATTCTTAAAGGTCATTTTACACACGTTTGTACCTACCTGGAACAATCCGTTCAGTGATAGTCGACAGTTAGGGTACGTATAGGTAGTGTCTAAATTGTCGGTTAGAAGACACTATATTCTTGAAAATGTTAATTTATCATCAGGCGACTGCTTGTCGTAAAAGGCGACTAACGGGATCGGGTGGTCAGGCTCGCTGACTTGGTTGACACATGTCATCGGTTTCCAATTGCGCAGATCGATGCTCATGCTGTTGATCACTGGATTGTCTGGTCCAGACTCGATTATTTACAGACCGCCGCCATATAGCTGGAATATTGCTGCGTGCGGCGTAAAACTGAACTCACTCACTCACCCACTCATTAATTTATCATCAAAAGGCTACGAAGCTGAAACAGTTTCAGACACACTGACAACGTGGTACAAAACCTAACTATAAACCTCTATAAATAATAGCGAATGAATTTCTTGTTTCCTTGAATTATTGCTGCCATCAAACATGGATGGATGGTTTCTTTTGCCGGGTGTTTTATATTGTTACCACTCCGATTAAATAGGAATGAATTGTAGAAAACCTAACTTGTCGTGTACTTAATACTCCGACACATCTTTATATAAACAGGTGATTTATAGTTTTGATTTATACAGCGGGTATGTGTCTTGTTTAAGACCATGCTATCGTCCTTTGAAAACATCGACACGGATCAAGAAAAAATTGTATATCGTTATATCGTAAAATTGCCGGGGATGTTCCACACAACTGACGCTTTAAAGAGGATGATTACGTGATATGATCTCCACACACATGAATTAGTAAAACTACAAGATTCGACACAAATCTACCTTTACTAAAAAGTACTATCCCTTTATAAATGTTTGTTTCGAAATGGTTGTGACAAATAAATAACACGTACAATGTATGATTGCAAAAATAAATAACACGTGAATATGTTAATACATTGTTTGCTATCTTGTCTCTCTCAAAATTGAAGATTTGTAGCTAAGTGTATATGAGTGTGTGTAGTGTTGTAGAAAACGAATTAAAGTCAAGGAATGTCAAGATTGTTGGGCGTGACAACCACATTAACTGCGGGGACTTTTATGTAGAGTTATGAAGTGGGTAGGTCGTATATACTTCACATGTAGGCTACAGTTCTCCTGGTCTTTTGCTGCAGGACAAGGAGGTTATTAGACGGCTATTCGGCTCAGTGCGTTTTTATCTACTACCCCTTAACTCGCCTTAGGTATAATCGCTGCGAGGAATGTAACCCGATGCTGCTTCCTATTAAATGCATTGAACTTTAGTGAAACCTAAGTCATGTTCAAATGTTCATATATTTATTTATCTATTCTATAATAAATAAATTTTATTTATTTATTTATTTATTTATTTATTTTATTGAATAGAACTACATCGCAGTGTCAGTTGTCCGGTGGCCGTTTAGTGCTGCAAAAGCACTTGCCTTGTCTTTCAAATATACTGCGTTTAATTTTAACATGGACTGCATTGAAATTCAATATATATCTGTATTCCTGTTAAATAAATACTTAGATGGCAACTAGAATTTATGCTATAAAAATAATAAATAAATATTTTTTATCACCATCAGAGATATACAGTAGTGTGGAACAGTTTTGACTTTAAAATTAGTTTTCAAACAACCCTGTTCCGCATTCAAGGGTGGTTTGGTGTATATATAAATTTAGGTGACTGACTAATTTGTAAATTGGCCTAAATTATCGTCATCAAAATCTTTGCAGATAAAAATAATTTTTAGAATGAAGGTTTTCCGATTAAGAAGGGTTCCGGGGTTAGTGTTTCCATGCGGTCTCGGGTTATCTTCAAATGTTACGAGGGAACACCATTTTATAAGGATTTCTATGTCACAGTCAGGTAGCCTTTTTAAGCCCATCTTTTGAAGTTATGGTGGTTACATGTAAGGGTGAAATTGACTGAGACCCAAGTATACACAGAGATGATCCAGATGTAGGCAAGCCATATCTAAGCCACCACGTCAAGACGGTGTGAGGCAAGGTATTTCGCTAGCTCCGTCCCAATTACAAACATGTTGTTGTTCAATCAGTTCTTGCAAAATTCAAGGCTTCAGTAAAGCTGAAAAATTTATGTGGCATGTGGAGACGTAATTTGATGCATCAGTGATAGACGCAATATTTGAAATATTTCTCTATTCCGACTTGTACCATGTGCCACCATGTTTGCACAGGTGAACAGTTGACGGGTTGCACCGGTTGAGCAGAATACTCTCACCTTTTCGCAAATATCTGTTATCACTATTTGATATTAATTCATAAACGACAGGATAAAGTCTCGGACTATTCTTATGAATATAGAAAGAGATTTGACTCGATTATTTAAAGCATTATATTTTTAAATTAATATTTTAAAAAGAACGTGTTGCATCTATGCAAACGGTTTTGATTTAAATTCAGTTTAATTTTAGACCAAGGATGTAAAAGATTTGAGAACCACTCATATACAATATTGCACACTAATCGTAGCAACTCTGCTGTCATTCTGTTTTTTATTGTAAGCATTTAAAGAAACGATAGGTGTGATGTGTTACCTTGTTGTTACACCCAAATACATATTAAAATTCAGTACATACTGTATTGTCATAAATTGTCGGTTGTTGTAATTTTTGAATAATATGCTTCCATGCTTATAACAGTCAAAATCAGTTTTTGTTAAATTATTTTGTGGTTTTATGGATATAATTTATATAATATCCCTATGCCACAGACTGATCATAAAAGCAATTCAAATATTTCGTGTGTATATTAACCGCCTACCTGAAACAGTTTCTGGTGCTGCATAAAACGCCGGGTACGTCCTTCCACTGTGATAACAGCGATCGTAGGGGAGAGAAACTTGATTTGAGGGAGCTTCCATCCCACCCAGGGTTTACATGCAAGACGAGTGAGAGGAAATGTTTGTAGTAGAACTCTATATTTCTGTCAGACTTGGATATATATACTAAAACTGCTAATTATATTCATATGACTTGTAAAATCTTCAATATATAGGTCATTTGATGGGCAAAATTAAAAAACGATTTTGCTGACTGAGCATTATTTCATTGGCTTATATGAAAGGTCATGTTCCTTTTATGGTTATTATACTTAGCCTAACGTGCAGTCGATACTTACTATCATTTCACTGAAAAGTCTACCCACTCAAACTACTCGATTGTGAGGCTTCGTCTACCTAACCAGCCAACCATGCACAGAAACACTCGTTTCTTGAGCGTCTTGCATGCAGGAAATGTGGACCTATTCCACAAATAAGAATAGTGACAACCCAAGATTTTAATGCAACTTGTAATATTTCAACTAGAAATCATAACAGCAAAACATATGATTCTATACCTCGCAATTAAGGTTTAAATATAAAAGGGTTAGTACTAACTTTACCAAGTCGCTTTTCAACACAAACTGCGAAGCGCCCTCATACAACTCCATATGCTTTCCACACCTTTCTCACTGGCACTTGGTTGGACGATGAGGTGAGACTCTAATGAAATGATTATCTGGTTGGATGGGTTGGGTAGCGACTCTGGCCCTCTGGCCTAAAGGCTTGCGTCGTGTATAACGTTTAACGAACACCTTGCATCATCACTGATCTGCAGTCGTCCATATAATGTTCATAACAATCTTGCCTTTAATGACAAATGAAGAAGACTATCGTGGGTAGAGGATGAATGGGAATGTGTTTGTGTTGGTGCAGTGTGGTGGGGTGGAGGTGGTTGTGGTAGGGAAATTGCGGAAGTGAACAATGTGACTGCGTGAGTGCCTCTATGTATGCATGTGTGTGCATACTTTTCAATTCACGTTGTTTCTTGATAAACCACCAACGGTAAAGAGCAAAACAAATTAACATAAATAATATATGTCCATCACGACGCGTACGGTTAGGCAGATTTTGGTTTTGATTTCAAGGCCTTAAATAAAGTTGATAGAATTTTTGACATTTCTTTTAACTTTGTAGTTGTTATGGGATATTTAAATGAATGCGCATAAAACTTTACAGTTATTTCGATTGGTTGCATGGTGTGCCAGCTAGTTTAATGCCTTGCAGCGGCTAGCCACGTTGGCTTGTCAAGACATATGTGCAAGCGTGGCCGATTGAATATGATTAAAACCTGTTTTAAAAAAAGCTGTTTCTATTCTAGTATGTGTGTATATGTGTTTGTATGTGTATTTATGTGTGTACATAACGTGTATGTGTGTATATATGGGTATACATGCGTGTATATGTCTGTATGTGTGTATATGCTTATGCACGGATGAAAAAAACGATCAAATAAATGTACAAACGAACGAATGAATGGACCCACTTTGAAATACATTAATCAGGTATGTGAGTTTCTATACGTACAAGGGGATATATGTGACTTTTCCTGAGATGCGTGCATATTTACTGCACCACAGAAGGAACGTCGCCTTTCAAAATCAAATGCAAAATTTTTTCTTACAAGGTGGTGTTTTTATTTTGATTGTACCAATTGTTAACATGTTTTTCAATCGAAATTGACAGTTATTACCAACATCAGTGTGTTTCTGATGAAGAAAACATATCGACCAAACGCAGCGAAGAAAGCAGACGTGGTAAAAGGTTCCGTATGACATTCGTGAAAATAAGATTGCACGTGCATGCCGTGACGCCCTACCAATGAAAGGGAGTCCCAAACTCGCTTGAAATCATTTTCGTTTTAACATAATCACCATTCCACGACTCACGAGAGATCAGAGGAACGAAGTCTGGGGACGATTGCAAGTTGTCAAGACTGCACAATCATTTTAATGTTCATGTTAGGACAACTACTGACTGCAGGAGTGGTATCAGGTCACTAACAGCATCCAACACCGTCCACGCAGTGGGCGACCTTCAGTAACATCCCAACGTCAAGACCGACAGATTGTGCGCAACCATCAGCATGATCGCTTCCCTAGAGCGAGGGAAACAGCACGCCAGACCATTGGGACTCACAACAGCCCCATCCGTTCCTGCCTATACAGTGCGTATATGTTTACGCGGAAGTAACCTCTGCTGTCACAGATCCTCCTGTCGCTCATCACCACCAAAACCGACCAAAATGGGCAACTCAGTATCGACATTGGCGTTATCAACAATGGAGAACTGTGCTTTTATCTCATGAAAGCCGATATTGTGTATTCGACAGTCGACCGCAGAGTGAGAGCATGGTGAAGGTGTGGAGAACTGTTTTCCAACGAGTGTTGAAAGGGACTCGTGGGTGGTCCAAGCATCATGGTGTGGACCAGTTAGTTGACACCGTGGTGTTCCAGAATCTTGGTCCAGGATGAGAAAATGACGTGACAGCTGCTCGCTATATTGACCAAAGTCATTGGACGTTACAGAAATCACATCTTCCAGCAAGACAACGCACGTGCCCACACTGCCAGAACAACATTGGACTTCCTAAGACAACATGGCATCCAAACCCTACACTAGCCTGCACTCAGACCGGATTTAAGTCTAATAGAACACCTTTGGGACAAAATTCAAAGAAAACTGAATGACCTCCAACCAAGGCCGACAACTGCGGCATGACTCGATCAGGCATTTCGCAGAGTATGGACCAAAGTGCCTATGGCCTTCATCAACCGGCTTATTCATTCCATGTACAGACGATGCAACGCTTTCATCGATGCCCATGAGGCCACACACAATACTGACATTGGGGTATCTTAATGGTACCATTTTCGGTGATTTTGCTTGTGTGAACTCTAAATGTGATTCCTGAAAATGTGTTAACCATAATTGTCAAGTTTGAACTCAATCCTCCGTTTTGATTGTTAATTAGAGTGGATAATAGTGTGTGCTTTTAGAAACCGCTATCGGTGCGACGTTTCTTTTGTGGTTCAGTATATATACTGGTGTATGTGGCTTCTCAATAGCGCTGTGTGTGAATATGAGGGTATATGGGTGTTTGTACCAGCTGTGAATGCGTGGTTACATGTGTGTTTGTGTGATGGGTGGATGTGGAATCATGTGTGGTGTGTATGTATATGTTGCTATATGTGACTCGTGCGGAACCGTTATTTTCGTTTAAACAAATCTGTTTAATGAGGAGCAATATCTAAACATCGATTATTACGTTGTTCACATTCAAAACACCTACGTGAGTATCATTCTTCGTGCAAACAATGAACTTGTGCGTATACAAAAATGCACTCCCAAGTTTTTATTCACGATCGAAGGAGAAGCCTTTTTGAATATGTATTGAAGGATGCATTACTTCATTTCAGCATTGAATATCTAACTTTTTCATAAAACATAGTTATTTTTCCGAAAGTATATGCAGCATCTACACCCTGAATGCGTATTTCCTTACACGAGTGGAGGATAATTGGTTCAATGTGTGAAGCCCATTTCTGGTGTTCCTTGATGCTGGAATATTGCTAAAAGTGGCGTAAAACATAGTCGGATATCAGTTTACAAAATAGTTACTATTTCTGTATCATTTACTGCAAGACTGTAAAACACATGTGTTGTCTGGACCAGACTCGATTTGTTTACAAACAACATCGTACAACTGTAATACTGCTGAATCAAATATCTGCTCATCATATAGTCACAATTCGACTCTGCTTTTAGCAGAGAATTCTTGCGGATGTGATAAGGTTTTTGTCGCTTCTATTTTTCTATTTTCCTAGCAAAGAGCTCACTGTTTGTTTACATACCTCCTTCGGAAGATCAAGAAATTTTGATCGATGTTCCTGCTGGTCGCCGAAGTAGTTTCAGTGCCCTGTGATTTGGAAAAGTTATGTTGGTTTGGTCGAGACATCAAGACCTATCCCATCTGTGCACTGTATTTCAAACCGAGCATATTTCTTTAGGCGTTCTACCTTTTCTTCAATAGCAGTTGGTATCTAGTACACAGCAGTTGTATTTCAGACGAGCGCCAGAGTGTGACTGGGTCCCTCGCCCGTCCCTTTTTGGCTTCCTTGTGTAAACGCCGCCGACCCGAGGCAGGATCACCGCTGTGCCGAGTCAGGCAACACTTTTTTCTTTTGTGTTCGTGGAGGGAATGAGTTCCCTTTTTGCGAGCTCCTGCCGTCCTTGTTTTTTGTTGCCTTCTCATGTGGTTGTTAATACCCGGCCCTTCTTCCAAGAGTCTGTTTCATCGGTTGATCGAGACTGGAGTTGGCGTTTTAAAAACGTTATAATATATTTAATGATATATTGATTTGTATGAAAGCGTATTTGTGCCACAGTCTAAACAAATGTCGTCGTAGATGATACTTACATCTAACGTAGACAATGCGTACATCTTTGTTGATACATATATTTACACACATGATAATAAAACGTACTTGGGAGAAGGAGTCATCTACTATCGACTTTGGCAACCATAATTTCTCAAGCAAAAAATCGACAATGGTTCTGGGTCTGAAAATAAAGGGTTTCAACCTTGATTTGTCTTTATTCAAGGACCATCAGAACACTCAATAATGTAACCCTTAATTAAGGTCGATAAATATATTTTGGGGTTGTTTATGATTTTAAAGTTTATTTTGATCATTTGAAATGCTTTCATTAAGTTAAGCAGATTCAGAAAAAAGCAAACCGAAAACATGCAACCATCGTGCCATTCAATATTCAAATAAAACAGAATAAAATTTTATAAACTATCCCACTTGGGTCTCAACCTCACCAATGGATATGACGGTCTGAGTATGGTTAGTATAGAGATACAGGTTTCATCTACGAAGAAGAAAGTAACCTCTTCGTAGATGACGAAAATAGTTTAGATTGTGGCACTAATAAGCTGCCATAGGTTTTAACAGCGTATGACGACCAGTTGAGAAAGCTGCACAGCCCCTGTGCTTAGCCTACTGTAGATAAGCTTCTCTGAAAGGTTAGGTCTT